CCGGGAACGTCTGGATCGCCGCCTTCAACGCCACGTTGGGAATTCCATTCGGGCCGGGAGCTTTCTTCGCCTTCAATCCTTTCGCTTCTGCGAGGAGTTCCTCGTTAGAGACTTGTTCAATGTTGTCTCCATCTTCTTCGCCATATGGTGTAGGTGGCCAGGTCGTTTGTTACCAATACACTGGTAACATATCCTTGCAGTCGAATGCTACATCCAATCCAGGTGGACTTTTTTTTTTTTCCTTTGGTTTGTTTTTTCCATCGATCTTGTTTTCCGTGCTGAGCACCAATGCTACCGACGTGCCAGGAAGGCAGCTCCCACACCTGGACCCTACCTATCGACCCATCAACTCATGAACCGGGGACTAACGGCTTTACTTCCCATCCGAAGGAAGGCGTGATCAGAGATGTTATGCCTCAGAACATCCCGGTGGCGCCGACTGGGATTGAACCCAGGCCTGCTGGGGTGAGAGGTAATCATGCTTACCACTACACCATCGACGCCGTTATCCAGGTGGACTTATTAGATAAATTAAATTAAAGAATTTAAACGAAGAATTAAATTCAATAAATAAATTAAAGGGTTAGTTATTAATAATTTAAATTAGTGGCACATTAGATTAGAAATTAAACTGGAGTCACTTTTTACGCGGTTTTTTTTACACGGTTTTTTTACGCGGTTAGTGCCTCTGAGTCGCAATTTACGCGGTAGGGAGTCCGCTTTGAGAAGCGTCCGAGAACGGTTGTGTGTTTTTGCTCCGCTGCGTGCTTTTTTTTTAGAGCTCGGGCTATCTTTGTGCTGCCGTGTAGTTTTTCGGTGCTCGCATTTGAATAGTTTTATGTCCCGGACGCGATAATTCTATTTAGAATGATTTGTGCTGATGTTTTTCCCCTGTTGCTTTGGTGCCTGGTGTGCTCTCGCTCCCTTTGTTGACAGTGTGACTCGACCGCGCTGATCTATTATTAGGTTTTTGCGGTGTGCATTGCTTTTGTGCACAGAGTGACATGAAGAAGAAAAGTGATATTTAGTTATTGTGTGTTTGGATTCGCTGGAGGAGGAATTGTTTAAAAATGACTAGAGAAAATTAAGCATCGAGAATGCGCTCCCGGATGTATTGATTTGGTGAGTACGTTCCAGTTGAAGATTGTTCTCTCTAAATATCCCTTTTTTGAATACGTTTCATCAATCAAACATTATTATATGTTGGGTTTGGGGGGGGGGGGGGGGGGGCAGCCTAAGGGTTTCAATGGATTTGTAGACTGGACAAGTGTTCGTGGATTTGCCAGTCCCTTGTCACGTGTTGATAGACGTACATCTTGTCGTTTGTCTTCCAAAGGTCTTCAATGAAGTTGATTCACCCAGCTGCAACAAACCATCAGGCAGAACTTTACAACCAGTGAAGTATCTGCAGTCATATGTAATCCTTGCACTGATGGTGGGTTCTATTCACATCACATGCTCCCCTATAAAAAAGTGAATTTGTGTCGCATATATTATAATCTCATCTGATTCTGGATTTTACAGTCAGCTTCACAGGTGTCAACCTCCTGCCCAGGAATAAGGAAAACTTCGTTAAAGTCTCTTATTGTGTTTCCCTTCCGACTGGGGGACTTGTAGACTTCGGGGCAAACTTTCTTTGACGGTGGTGGATTATTCCCTTCGTTCGCCTCCGTATCCGAAACTGGCTACATCTGTTCCAATTCTGCTTCAGCCTCCAAGCGAGTCTTGAACTCTCTTTTTTTTTCACTCAATTGATACGTTCCCACATTGGGTTTGGCATGGAGAACTCGTCTTGAGAGAGTTTCGCTACCGCGTTTTTTTTTCTGGCCAGTGTAGGATTCCAGCTTCTTTCCAACCAGAAAGAATTACGGTTAGGCATGTTTCGCATCTTTCAATTGTTTGTACCACTTTAAATGGCATTTTTTCCGCACTTGAACTTGGACGACACTAGCTGACTCCCTTCCGAAACATTTTGAACTGTCACTTTTCTCCAGGCAACTTTGTCATCATAAAACTGAGCGGTACCAAGTCAAGTCAAAATGGATAATAAATAAACAATAAGGTATTCAAATTTACTTTATAAATGCTATAATAAACCATTGTGCAGCGATGATCGAGACGTTTCCGTCGGATAAGATTATTTTACGGCCGAGTGTCTAGGAAGCTATGGAAACCGAAATGGCTCTTGATTTTGTTTTATGCCCTTATAGTATAAACCACCATCGCACTTTGTGAGTTGCCCCAATAGAACCCTTGCTTTTGGTTTGAATCAGTACAAATTCGTTCTATTATATAAAAAAAAAAAAAAAAGAAGTATACATATTCATTTTCTTCCGAACTAAATAAACCACCATCACACTTTGTGAGTGGCCCCAACAGTATCCTTGCCGTTGGTCTAAATCGGGTCAAATCGGTTCTAATAATTATTTTATATTCAATCAAGTAAACCACCATCACACTTTGTGAGTGGCCCCAACAGCATCCTTGCTGTTGGTTTAAATCGGTTCAAACCGCTTATAATTAATTATTTTGGTCATTGATAAAATAAAATAAACCATCATCACACTTTGTGAGGGGCCCCAACAGTATCCTTACTGTTGGTTTAAATCGGTATACACACATCTAATAATGATCTACATCTCTAGACAGCCGGCTGTTTAGAGCATAAATCGAAAACACTTATAAATAACTACACAAAACAAAAGATCGCATCACTTATCAAGGTGAATCCTGATCCAACGAACCTAACCCACTAACAAAACCTCCTTCCTGTGACTTTTGTGGGATGCAGAGGTAAACACGGTCCCAAAACAACAAAAGTCACACACTAACATTCCTTCCCTCTCCCACCTGATTGCAAGGACGTGGCCGGTGACGTTATTGATCTTTAAAGGTAGGAGTCACTGGAACATGTACACTGAGAATGGCAGGTTACTACCAAGCCCCATTCAGTTGATTCTTTGTACAATTTCACTGGTTCAGATCAATCACGGAGTGCAACTATCGATACGTGCAGTCAGACTAAGCTAAGCTAAGCTAAAGCTGAGTCGCAATTTACGCGGTAGGTTTTTAACGATTTCTCGTCAACGATACGACCTATCGACTTGATTCCAATCACATTATGCGTTTCAAACTATAGGCAATCGAATGGCATACATACTCACAATTTTTGGTGTAAATACAGAAATTTTTAAAATATGTCTATATGGACCATAGCATGCTATAATAACGAATGGCATCAAAATCCGATTTATAAAAAATATTTAAGCATGTGAAAAATCAAAATCTCGGAAGTTTTTTTTTTACGCGGTTTTTTTTACGCGGCACGTATCCCCCGCGTAAAAAGCGACTCCAGTGTATATTTAAATTAAAAAAAATGTATCTAAAATGTGTATAAACACCCCATTCCATCTCTGCCTTCACATCAGCAGGCGAAATTGACCTATCATTGAATATTTGGCATATGAATATCTGGAAAAGAGAGAGAGAGAGAAGGAAGGAGAGTAGATCGAGGGAGAGAGAGAGAGGGTGAAAAAAAGGAGACGAGAGCTAGTTGCTGAAAAAAAAACGAGGAGTTTCCAACCTTCGGAGAAAACGGATCGAAAGCTGAAGATAAAAAGAAAAAAAAAACCGACGGTTAGCAGAAGTACAGTTTTTCTTACAGTGGTTCCCCCGCTTGTGATTGGCCAGCCCGGGTTTCTCAGTTTCGAAAAGTGTGTCACGGACATCACCGCCCCGTTACCGGTTGAGTGGATCCCCGGTGAAGTGATTGTCCGGTTGTTCGGCGAGCCCAGTGCTGGTGGCTGACGAGCGTTGCGCCATTGCTGCACCACACGCCACGGGTGAGTGGTAACAGACGTTTTGGAGGTGGAAGTTTGGCCAGGTCCGTGTGGGTTTGCCCCCGCTGGTCGGAACTAATATCCGATACGTTACCGCCCCGTTAACGAGCACGAGGGACTTCGGACCGAAAGTACGGAAACCACGTGGAATTGAACCAGCCCCTAACAACGAAGTCGATCCGCTGTTGAGGCAAGGGAAGGACGAGAAATCGGCGAGTCCCGTGCTGGTGGTGGACGAGCGTCGTGCCATTGCCGTACCACACGCGTCGGGTGAGTGGTAGCCGAAGCCTTGGAGGTGAGGGTCTAGCGAGGTCTGGTGGGTCCGCCCCCACTTACTAGTGCCCAATATCCGATGTGCTACCGCCCCGGAAGCGAGCACGAGGAACGTCGATAGGAGTGGTAGGAGCATTGGACCTGTTCCCCGTCCGAAAGTCTGGAAGCTCAGTTTTGATCAGAAATGTCATAGTAATTTATATGGACATTCATATCAGTTTGTCGGTGAGGACACCAGAAAAAAACGGCCACCATTCGAACAACAGCTGGCCCTTTTTAGGGCCACCAATTTAAAAACGGAAAGAGTTAAGATAATAGATTATCGATCAATTAAAATAACTAAAGGCTCATCATATTTGTTCCGTCCACTAGCGGTCCTATGTCAAGCTTCCATTCGTGCCCCTAGGCACAGACCCTTCTACTTTTTTTTATTGTAAAGCTTAATGGCATACAATTAAACTAGTGAAATATTGATTACCTTGCTACTGTTAGAAGCTGTCCCTAGTCTTAGTGTTTTCAGCTTATTTTTCGGCTTCTTCTGTGATGAGGATAGGTTCAACACCTCAGCTGGGAAGATCAAGAAGAAATGTATTTTTTACGATAAGCTTCTAATTTTACAAATAGCTGTTCAGCTTATCACAACAACCTACCTTAACCAATTTCCTCATACTTCATTCACAGTTCTAGCTGATAAGCGGATTGCTGTACTTTGTTACCGAAATCGATAGATAAACCAATTTGCCGTAACTGTTGCACAATGAAACCGAGTAGCACGTATCCGTAAATCTAATCGACTGGCGCTACGTTTGCAGGTGTTAATCAGTACCGAATTCTTGCTCGGTGGCCTATAAAAGTCGACACGCATAAAATATCGATTTAGTCTACGCAATACGCAATAATCTAGTCATCAGAATGTTAAGGTTAAGTGTTGTTCTATTAATTGCCTCTGTGGCTTTGGCGTCAGCTGCGTCTCTCAAACAAGGATTGACCAGATCGTCCAACCGGCTGGGACGCATAGCTGGAGGAACTCTAGCAGAACCAGGACATTTCCCATATCAGGTTGCCCTTCTGACCGCTGATGGCCTTCATTACTGTGGTGGTTCAATCGTGAATCGACGATGGGTTCTAACATCCGGTTCTTGTGCCATCGGTAAGACCACGTCAGACATCGTCGTTTTTGCCGGAAGCAACCTCTTGAATGAAGGCGGGCAAAGATACCGCGTAGACAGGATTGTTCTTCATCCGAATTTCGACGTTGAAGTCTACGCCAATGACGTGGCTGTTTTGCGAGTAGTAGAGTCGTTCATTTTCAGTGATACCATTCAACAAATTCCTTTGAGAGGTCAATTCGTCGAGACTGGCTTGGTGGCAACTGCTTCCGGATTTGGACGAGAATCGGTAGAGTTTGTTGGAATCGGTTAATTGATTGAAATGATAAAGTTCCATTTTTACTCGTGTAGATATCCGACATCGGACTTGAAGATTTGCGGTTCGTTGAAGTAGAGGTGATCTCCCAGGATGAGTGTCGTGAGGTCTTCGATGAAAACTACACTCCTCGTTTGATGGACAACACCGTTTGCACGACGAGCCAAGAGGGGCAGGGAATTTGCCTGGGCGATGCCGGTGGTCCATTGACTAATGATGGAGAGCTGATTGGAGTAATTTCTTGGGGAATCCCTTGCGGTTTGGGTATGCCAGATGTTTACGCCAGAGTGTCTGCCCACAGGGCATGGATCTTGGTGCATACTATGATCTAAGTTTTTGAAAGTTTGCGAATAAAGCCGTTTTAGACAAATCATCGATCGATTTTCATTTTTGTGTGCATCACCTTTGTGGTACCTTGGTATTTTCGGATTGCACACAATGCACACAACAGTAGTATTTGTTGTCTGTCCGGTAGCAATATTCTAATTTTACTAACTAGAGAGGCTCTAGGATTCTAGAGGAGCGGACTGGTTGGTTTTGAGCCATGTCTTAAGGTTCAATTTACTTTGATGCATTTTTTAAAAATTCAAAAGCAGTTTTTTTCGACCCATTATTTTAGATTGCAAAAAGCTCGTGTCATTTTGTGTAAAATATCAAAAGGAATCGAATACTGCGAGCTTTTTGCAATCTGAACTAATGAGTCGGAAAAAACTGCTTTTGAAATTTTCCAAAAAGCATCAAAGTAAATTGAACCTTAAGTGTACAAGTCAGATAATACGATGAAGGAGCTGCAGGGCTTTTGGGATGATGACACACTTAGCGTGGATTACACACAGGTTTGTATTCTTCTTAGGTGCACGGTACCGGGTGATTGGGGAATTCTGATATCTGTAGGCGCTTTCTCCACGGATACGGTGAGCGAGTTGATGTTCTTCGAAATGATGATGACGCTCTTGGTGAACATGGCCCAACAACGGCGTAGCGCACGATGAACAACTTTACCGGAACAGTGGCGGTGTTGCTTCTTCACTACTTCGCTGGCTGGAGTGCTCTTGCAAGCAGTTGCGGGGAGCCTTTCCTCCGGTCCGCATATCGTCTGTGTTGAGCTGATGCGTGTTGAACGAAACGAATGGAAATGCGGCTTCGACTTGTTTCGTTTGGTATCAACTATGTGATGACTCCAGTGCTGTTAATTTTCATATCATTCGATTGAATATAAATCAATCTGTGAAATTTAATCTGTGAAAACGAATTCTCACATGTAGTGCTGTAAATTCTCAAAATCAATTGAACATTTTTGATGAAAATGAGAAAAGCAGCTATCGGCTATCAAAGGGAACCTCCTTCGAATGGGTGACATCACTTGCTTAGTCATTTGACGAATGTATGGATCATTCTCATTTGAGAAACGCTTGATATCATTCAATTTAGTGTAACCTACACATAAACGGAGCTCTGGTCGACATTCCGGCGAAAAAGCAAAGCACACCAACCTGAAAATGGCCTTAAACTTGCCTTACATTGATTCGAGTCGACTTGTCTGTTCGGGACCATTTTGCTGGGTTTCTTCCATACTCCTCTGTCGTATATCAAAAGATAGTGAGTGACTCAATTGACAGTGGCGATGAGCTTCGAATGAGAAAGGGGCTTTTCAAATTATGGTCAATTTTTCGCAGCTCTCAAACACTCGTTGTATATTGTTCTAAGAAGCTTTTTCCAAAATCCGCAAACATGATTCATGTTTTCGTCTGACAAAGATGAACAAGAGTAGCAAAAACCGCGGGCCGGCGAAGGCTTGTTCTTGGCTTGTTGTGGGCGGCACACAATGAGACCGCGGGCCGTACATTGAGCTGGTCTAGTAGACCCTTGACTTCACCCTACTTCACCAACTTGAAAGTGTAAATACTAGGTTCATCGGACGATATAGAGTCATATTTTCGGAACGGGAACCGGCCGGCAATCGATGATTCACGCCGGAATCCAAGATGGTAACCTCCGGTTTGTGCAAACTGTCGAATACCCTACAGTATGGGTATTTTCGAAACGGGGACGTCGTGTACCTAGAGGATGGAAAACGATTATTAAGACGATTTTGGAATCAAGATGGTAACTTCCGATTTGTGAAAAACTATCAAATACCATACAATATAGGTATTTTCTGAACGGGAACGACGTTTAGAGGCCGGAAATCGATAATTGACGCCTTTTTGGAATCCAATATGGCGACTTCCGGTTTGTGATGAAATTCCGAATACAGTTCAAATTGGGCATTTTCGGACAGGGAACGACGTGTAGAGGCCGGAAATCGATTATTGACGCCATTTTGGATTCCACGATGACAACTTTCGGTTTGTGAAAACTATCAAATACCGTACACAATATAGGAATTTTCTGAACGGGAACGACGTTTAGAGGCCGGAAGTCGATGGTTGACGCCATTTTGGAATCCAAGATGGTGACTTCAGGCTTGTGATGAAATTTTGAATTCCCTTCAATATGGGCGCCTAGAGGTCGGAAATCGATTATTTACGTCATTTTGGATTCAAGATGGTGACTTCCGGTTTGTGAAAAACTATCAAATACCATACAATATAGGTATTTTCTGCACTAGAACGACGTGCAGAGGCCGGAAATCGATGGTTTACGCCTTTTTGGAATCGAAGATGGATTTCCGGTTTGTGTTTAAAAGTGCCAAATAAATGTTATACAATAAATTTTTAAATAACGCTTATTTCCAATACTCTGTAATTAATCTTATTACATTTACAGGAATTGTATACACTGAATGTTGAACAACATGTGATACCAGCGGTAGTGGAATACATGTAGCACTAGAGGTTTTCTAGCAAGCGATAATGGCTACTGGGTTTACTTCAGGACATATCACGCACTGGTAGTTACTGTTGAAGAGTTCATAAGTCCACGATGTTCAATTGGCTAAAAACCGATTTCAGTAACAATGATTCTTCATTTACTTTGACTGACCTTTCATTACCTTTGACTATTTGGCCAGCAACAATTTCAATTCCAGTTCCAACTATGTTAGGTGCTAATGAAGAAACAAACAAAAACATCTAGTGCTTCATGTATTCCACAACCAAGTCGCTGTTATCATATGTTGTTAAATATTATACAGGTATACAATTCCTGTAAATGCAATAAGATTAGATTAGACTGCTGTTCTAAAAATAATCTCTCAAAATGTCATTCTATGATATCAGAAAAAAAAAATAAAAGTTAATAATTATCAAAGTTCTTTTGGAACTTGTCAATATACTCTATTGTAAAGTGTAGCACTTTCTTACATTGAAATGGCAAATAATAATATTTAAATAAAGAGAGAGAGAGAGAGAAAGATTAGTAATTTCCATTTAAATCCACTACCTTATTTGCTTATCCTTGAAAGATACGCGTATTTCGTCTACAATGTGCAGACTTCTTCAGTGTCTTGTACTAATAGTCGATTATTAGTACAAGACACTGAAGAAGTCTGCACATTGTAGACGAAATACGCGTATCTGTCAAGAATAAGCAAATAAGGTAGTGGGATTAAATGGAAATTACTAATCTTTCTCTTTCTCTCTCTTTATACAGGTATTCCTCTAAGACGCCCACATTCATCAGGATTCAAATAATAATATTTATTGGACGGATCGATAACAGAGGGAATTTCGAACATTATAAGTTATTTTCAAGTTGTCAAATTTAAGTGAAAATTCATCAAATGGAACACAGCCTTTTTTTTTCCTCTGTTCGGGACCTAAAACCACTGCGACCACACAGCCTTAGAAGCGAAGCTTTCACTGGTCTTCAAAGAACAATCCCACATACGGAGACTGATCTCCGTACAAACTGATGTGACCGCACCCAATAATCTGGAACAGATTACACCATGCAAGATGAAATGGCCGAATCCTAGCAGAAACCTGGTTCATTTGTCCCTACCGAACAATTACAATTGTATTCGAAGTTTCATAGAATTCTGATAGGTGAAATCTGAAAATCGATTATTTTTTCGCTATTTGGCGTGCAATGCTCCACCAATGCCCGGAATTTTGAGAAACACTATAATCAGGAAGTATGAACCGTAATATATTCTTTATAATAACCACCCTAGTATTAAATTATTTTTTGTAACGTTTCAATTTCGGACTCCAAATGAATATTTTCTGCTAAATGGGTTCTGGACCACTGTGCGCGAGAAAGAGACCCTGTTTTGTTTAAGCCCCTCCTAAGATGGAGAGCAGACGCTCGGATATGTAGGTTCTAAGCCCCTTCCAGCATATGACCAAGGTCCGACCGGGGTTGGTCGCCAGCCGACACCGCGTGGAGGTAAGGATAGGAGTTACTGGATAATAGGACATTGGGGTCTATTTTATACCTGCAGGTACGCGAAATACCAATGGTACGCATTGTCCAGCCGTTTACCAGATGTGTGCATACGATCGTTCTAGCACTTATTCTTGGAGTCACCTTGGTAGCACTAATACTTGGGCATTCAGAGAAGCCTATAGGGGCGAATAAAGGGACGTTCACTGTTTAAGGGGAGGGGAGTGTCCTATAATGTTGGCAGAATAAATATGGGTAAACGCGTCGCACAAAGCGCGTAACATTTGAAAAAGTAGTGAAAATCTAATCACTCATATCAATCAGATATTAGATTTCATCTGAATATAAAAGTGAGAATTAGTGGGTACAATTAAGTTTTTTTTCAAACACAACACTTCTTTACCTATTTTCATCAGGGGGTAAATGAAGTCTTACAGTGTTATTTTTTTCAAAACGATACTCTGGAATATAATGCACCAAGACAAATCCAGTACTATTTCCTGCCATCAACAACTCTTTTTGTTATGCTTGTAGAAGTTCAGAGGATTTCTCAGCTTCCCATAAAGTGAGTATCATGCTTTCATTTTCTTTCCCTCTCCCGAATTGATCTGTATTCGGACGAGGCTTGCGCCGGTTCTGCTCAAATTACATACGATCACCAACATTTGTACATTGTGGATAAACAGTACTCGCAAGTGCCATATATTGAGTCTCTGTGCAATAACAGCTGATCTATACAACAAGGTAGTAGCAACCATGGGCAGTCAACCATGCTCATGCTTTATAAACCGAACATTTTGACCATTTACCATTACGATAGTCAATCCGAACAACTATTCTTTTCTCGTGCTATGGTCAACTCAACCCAATACATTCCACCACAAACATAGCCAGTCAGTGATTTGTGAATATTCCATGTATTTTTATCATCCAATAACCAAGTGTCATTCAATGGGTGAAGCTGGTGAAGTATGTAACATTCGATAGTTTATTTTTGCGTTGTGTGCGCTTTTTATCTACAACGACAACGACTCTCCAACT